CATCGGCAAAGTGCGTCTCAACTTCGGTGAAAGGATTATCGTCTGCAACTATCTTCCTTTCAATCCCGTCTTCAAGATACTTCAAACATTGATAGTAAGAAGATGAGACAATTCTATTCTCATGTACTCAAGGCCTACTAAGTAATATATTGTATGAAGTCTTTGCATCGATCACGTGCATCCACGCGCTTGATCGCAAATCTTCCATGTGAATTTCTAATTTAATAGAGCCTATGGGCCTCTGTCCTCCTTGATTGAATCCTTGTATCAACAAATGACTTTCACTAAGTTCTTCGGTCGTGATGCCGAGTTCCTTCAATGTGTGGATATGCAGGATGTTGACTCCAGATCCTTCATCTATCAAGATTCTATTTATCTTCTTCTCTCGCACGTGACCAACTATATACAAAGGAAGATTGTGTAGTGTTTCACCAAACAGAAGATCGTTATCTGTGAATGTGATTTTTGTATCACATGTATAAGCTTCTTGGGAAGAAGGTTCAATAGGCTTTTCAGAAGATGAAGGAGCCATCATTGACGAGATTTCCCTTGTTGCTTTTTCTTCGCCACTAGGAGACACTTTTGGTGAGGATTCTCTCGTTGTTCCTTCTCTGTCAGTTGGAGACACCTTCATTGTTTCTTCTTTATCAGCATTAAAACATGATGCCTCGACACTTTCTTGAGTAGACTTTGTGCGCAACCAACTTGGTAAGAATTCTTCTAGAGTTACAGGATGTCGGGGTTTCTGGTAGTGATGTACTTCTACCTTCGCCTTCTTTGGGCGCTTGATTGATTTCTGCTTCACCGGTTTCTTCACCATTTTCTTTCTACTTGGTTTCTCACATGATTCTTTTTGTAAGCTTGACTTGTTGCGTCTTCGCCTAGTCACAAGAATCCAGCCTTCATCACCATCTATATCAACTTGAGATTTGTCTAGCTGCAATGACTCTTCTTCATGCTTTTTAGCGATATGTATTTGGATCGGATCGAGCGAGCCGAATGTGATGGAGATTTGATTAGAACTAGCTTTCTCATCATCAAGGACAATCTTCTTTTCTCTAACCAATCGCATCACTCTATCCTTGAAGACAAAACATTTTTCAAGAGGATGACTCACAAGTCTATGATATTTGCAATAATTTGGGTCATCAACTTTTCTAGCTTCATCAGGTCGCTTCATCTCTAGCAACTCAATGAGCTTTAATTCAAGCAACTCATCGAAAATATCAGAAACATCAGAATCCAAGAAGGGGTATTCCTTTTTTTGCATTTCCCTTAGGATCGATTTTTGGTCTGAACGCGCTTGAGAACTTGTTCTCACACTTTGCTTCTTCCCTTCCTTCGTAGTGAACTTTACAGGTGACACATTAATATTCATTGACTCTTTGTTGTCGTTCTTGGGCACAAATTTGCTCCATCTATTAGGTTCCTGCTTGTCTCTTCCTTTGCGAGGGTCATGGACAAACGTCATATCCTTTCCAGCAGAGGACATGCTCAACTCCATATCATGAGCACGAGTAGCTAGATCTTCAAAGGATTTTGATTTTATTCCTTGTAAGATATAAAGAAGCTCCCCGTGTATCCCTTGGATACACATTTCTATTGCAGAAGCTTCACTAAGCCTATCCTTGCAATTCAGGCTCGCGTTCCTCCATCGATTTATGAAGTCTATGGCTGGTTCATCCTTCCTTTGGCGAGTATTCGTAAGTCCTACCATGCTTACAGTACGCCTCGTGCTATAGAATCGATTGAGAAACTCGTGCTCTAGTTGTTCCCAACTATCAATAGAATTGGGCTCAAGATCTGTGTACCAATCAAAGGCATTTCCTTTTAGAGACTGGACAAACTGCTTGACAAGATAGTCTCCATATGTTCCAGCATTATTACATGTCTCCACAAAGTGTGCAACATGTTGCTTTGGATTTCCTCTACCCTTAAATTGTTGAAATTTGGGGGGTTGATAACCAGCAGGCATTTTTAAGTTATCAATTCTTGCAGTGTATGGCTTGGCATACATGTGAGAAGACTTGGTGGAGACTTCATACTTATCTTTGATAGTGCCTTCAATGAACTCCTTCAAGCGATCGAGTGGGATCATTCCTTCAGAAGAAACTGGCATCTCATTAACAATCGGTGCTTTCTTTGCAGGATCTCTAATCTCTTGAACTTCGACACATTTTCCGGGCGCATGACTCGCTTCTCCATCTAAAAGTCCTTCCATTCGATCCATCAACTTATCGATTCTAGACTCTTGGTGTTGTACATGCTTTGTCAATCCTTCAACCAACTTCGTCAGATTTGCGAGTTGTTCCTCAGAGGAAGAAGCAGTAGCCACCATTGTTTGCATGATCATTGGAGATGTAAGAGAGTAGCATGGATTGTCGCGTAAGTTGATCTTCAGTGGACTCACATTACGCGATGCACGTGGAGGTGACTCGTTCGTTGAATCATAGCTCTCCCTTGTGGTAGAGTTCTTGGAACCAGATTGCTCAAGGAGAGCCAATGTCTTCTTGATCTTTTCAGCAACACTGCTTCCTCCTTCTAAAGCGTTTGCGGAGACACTTGATATTTTTGGAGTAGTAGACCCAAAAACTGGAGTTGATGCAGATGACACTTGAAGTGTCTGTTGTCCTAGTGTAGCAGTCTTGCTTCTCGTAACAGCTCCGAAACTTCCAAAGGTAACACCCAAAATGCCTTCAACTTCATTACAGAACTTGGAGCTAGTAGCCTTAGAGGCAGTTGATCGGGAGTTGTTCTTCATAGAAGTCATCTCGATATTCTTTGATGCTTGAAAAGTTGAGATGAGAGGTAGAGATTGTCCCACTAGGCGTGCCAGAATTTGTAGACAATAAAATTCGCGTCGAGAAAACAATAATCAAGAACGGAAAATTATGCAACAATCGTTTTATTGATTTAGGTGCGAGTGTTACAATCTCTATTATTCCTCTGAATTCGCCTTTTCAAATATAATTCAAGGGCTCTTGAGCTTGATCTTGAACTTGAGATTTATCTCGATCTTGATCTCTATCTTGATCTTGATCTTGGACTTGAACTTTATCTTGATCTTGACTTCTAGTTGAATCCAAGGGCTTCGAGCTTGATCTTGAATCCGGCGGTCTTGATCTTGATCGTTCTTGATCTTTGTCGTTCTTGAGACTTGAACGTTCTTGAATCTTGAATGCTTGAATTCTTGAACTCTTGAACTTGTAGAGAAATCTGCAGCTTTTGATCCACGAGCTTTCTCTAGCTTCTTGTTAAAATTCTTGGTCCTCTTTTTATGAATTCTGAAGACCCCTATTTATAGTTTTAGAATAGGGGAGTTGTGATTGGAATAGAATTCTCTTCAGCCAATCAGATTTAAGTGACATGGCATATGGGCTTTATGGAGCGGGCTTTAATTAAATTCATATTTATTGAATTTAAATAATTTATTTAATGATATTAATCCATAATATTTATTTGGACTAATATATTAATGAATTTAATATAATTCAAATCATTTTAATAAATTTATATTTAAATAAATTTTAAATGATTACAATATCTATGAACATAATTTTTTTTTAGATATATGATTATAACACTAGTAAATATATAAAATAATATTATTTTTTGTGTCTCAATTTATACGATACACTTTTATTTTTAATCAAAAAAATTTTTAAATGTCATATTTCTATATTTAGTAATAATTAATTTTAAAATATTTATTTTACTCTTAATAAAATAATTTATAATTACACAAACATTTACTATGACTTATAGTTCAAAATTCTTTTTTTCTCAATCGTTAGTTAGCGGTAGCAATAATGATTTCAAATACAGTTTGCATTGCTTTGCCTTATTGATTGCTGTTTGAAACAAGGCGTGAAGGACGGAAATTCTGCTCTCATTAACTTCGTGTCAACTGTCAAGTGCATCTATTATGGGGAAAGACGATATTGATTAGAGAATGGATTGATAATTTGCGTATATGAACTTGGACAATCTTTTTCATATGCTAGTAATTTTGAGGTTGAGTTAGTCGCAGTGCCATATCTTTACAAAAATAAATTAGTAAACATTTTTTGTTAATGCGTGGTGCATTTTACCAAAGGTATCCAATTTGACGAAAAAGTCATTGGAGATGAAACAAACTATGGAATTAATGAACAATTTAATAAAATGCTTGGACGGTCGCAAATTTAGTGAATAAACAATTTCTACAATATAGTCTAAACACATTAGTAATAATTGCAATTAGCGGTCATTTAGGTTTGCATGAAGACCTCATTAATTTATCCATGAGGATGATGATGAAAAACGTTGAACATATTATCCAACGACCAACTGTATCTATATTGTTTCTTAGGATATTTCATATTTTGAAAGGACCCCACTAGAAGAAAAAATAAACAAGAACTTATTTTGGACTATTCTAGACACGTTTGTAAAAGAAAAAGGAAGTTCAGGCTCTTCCAGCTCCTTGAGGACACTTTTTCACTTACATATCTACTATGCTTCATGCCTATTACAAACATTATTTTTCCAAATTTTAGTTCTGGAACATATAACAAAACTAATGTACTGCTGAAGAAGACGCTAAAGTGAGTTAGACTCAAAATCTAATTTTACAATTCTATTAGTACTATATGTTTTGACTTTTGAAAAGTGAAAATTCTTGTTTGATTATTTTGTAATAACAACTGGTATATAGTATTAACACGTTTTTAGTCCATTCTATATACATTAAAATCCATGTTTATTGCAAAGTTGTCTACAGTGTGAGAACGGTTCAAAAAAGCTATATAGCCAGTTCAGTTCATCTTCTTAGTATCAGAAACTATATCAAAGTGGGTAGATACATAAAGTAGAGTCAGTATATATTCTAATGTGTTGCTAAAGAGGGACCACAATTTTTTTTTTTAAAGGAGGGATACTGTTTGTTTTTCAAAAAAAAATTGTTGTAATAAAGCATTTTAAACAGGAGCAAATTACAAGGAGGTGTACTAGGAAAAATAATGGAGTTGGATAGTGTTGTAGCTATTTTAGTTATATTTTGTTGTTCTTTGGTTACGCTTCTGGCGAGTGAAGAAAGTATCAAGATGGGCAAATCAATCACTGGTAATCAGAAAATGATTTCAGCTGGAGGAAGTTTTGCCTTAGGCTTCTTCACTCCGCGTAATTCTACATTTACCTATCTTGGCATATGGTACAACACAATCCCCGAGCAAACGGTCATTTGGATTGCTAATAGGGAATCTCGAATTCCTCAGAATTCTACTGCTGTTTTCACTATTGGCAATGATGGGAATTTTGTGATTTTTGAGGTAAAAGATCAACTTATTTGGTCATCAAATGTTTCATCCATAACTTCAAATTTTACTGTAGGAGCACTGCTAGATAATGGAAATCTAGTGCTCATACATGGTGAGTCTGATTTATTGTGGCAGAGCTTTGATCATCCTACGGATACGCTTATGCCTGATATGAAACTTGGTTATAATAGAAAAACATGACAACGAACTCTGATCAATTCGTGGACAAGTAATGAAGATCCTCGGCCTGGAAATTTTTCATTTGGGATAGATCCTGGAGGGCAGATGCGGCGTTTTTATATATTAAAGCAGAACAGTATTTATTTTAGGTTTGATGATAGTAATGAATACGCTGGAGGGAATATCGGGGGAATTGGTTGGTATATTTCTGTTGTTTCGGAGAATGATGGAATTTTTGTTACTTATGGTTATACCAAAGGATTGGTAACATTAAGGGTTATTTTGCATCCTAATGGTTACCTTCAGTTGCTGGAATGGCATCAAAATGCTAATAAGTGGATAGTTAAAAATCAGGCACCACAATCTCTTTGTGAACGTTACGCGGAGTGTGGTCCATTTGGAAGCTGTGCGGTTAGATCAAGTGGATTATGCAGATGCTTAACTGGATTTGAACCAAGATTTTCGACAGATTGGGTGAACGGGAAATGGAATGATGGTTGTGTTAGAAAAGTAGCATTGAGTTGTGATGGCGGAGACATATTCTTGAAACATGATGAGGATATGAAGTTTCCGGATCATGCTATCTCGTTAGGACATATGAGCATTAAGGACTGTGAAACGCGGTGCATTAGGAACTGTTCTTGTTCAGCTTATGCTTATTCAAATAGCACCTGTTTAATTTGGTTTGGAGATTTACTGGACCTTTCCCACAACTTTCCTGGTGGCAGAGTTCTCAATGTTCGAGTTCGTGGCTCTGAGCCAGGTACAATTTTCACTTCTATCCTTACTAGTTCTACTAACAAAAGATTCTCTACACATCTTTGGTCAAGAAAACTAAATTTATTTACTTTTTGTCTTCTGGATGCAGTTAATCATGGTGGATCCAGGAATTCAGCTCACAGACACAAAGTTTTTGTTGTGATAATTGTTTCTGCAATATCTGTCATCTTACTTCTTATAAGTATTCTTTTCTTTATCTTCAAAAGAAAGCACTTGAGAAGACAAGGTGTGTTTAGTGTACTTATTAATTGTAAATACAAATACTGAATTCAAATTTCGTATGGATTACACTGATTTGCTTTACTGATTGCTGTTTGAAATTAGGCTGGAAGAATGGAACTAAAGCTTTCATTAGGTCCGTGTCTGGTTTATATTCAGTTGAAAAAAGCGATATGAAGTTGCTGCAGTACAACCTTCAGAAAATAAGAGAGGCTACTAACAACTTTCATGGAGAACACAAACTTGGAGAAGGTGGATTTGGTCTTGTGTTTAAGGTGCTAACTAAAATCAGTGTTGATATTTTACTGCTGCTACTTTGAGAGAGACGTCATACGTCTCATTTTCGTTTCATGACTATGGTGGATGTGGATTTAAACATTCTGTTTCAGGGGTTTTTAGCTGAGTTCGGGGACGTAGCCATCAAAAGGCTAAGCAAGAGGTCATCACAAGGACTGGAGGAGTTTATGAATGAATTGAAGCTAATCGCAAAACTGCAGCACAAGAATCTTGTCAGCCTCTTAGGATGCTGTGTTGAAGGGGAGGAGAAGATACTTATCTATGAGTATATGTCCAATTGCAGCTTGGACAAATTTCTGTTTGGTTCGTCTTCTACTCCGTTTTAAGACTTCACATAACTTAAATTTTTACTCCTCTCAATTCCCTTTGGTTAATGAGATGTTCAAATGTCTTTTTAGACCCTTCGTTGAAGGTTACACTCGATTGGGTTACACGTTTGGGGATAATAGAAGGAATTGCTCAAGGAATGCTTTACTTGCATAAGTACTCGAGATTAAAAGTCATCCACAGGGACCTTAAAGCAAGCAACATTCTTCTAGATCAAGAGATGATCCCAAAAATATCAGACTTTGGAATGGCAAGGATTTTCGGGACTGATCAAACACAGGCCAATACAAATCGAGTCGTTGGTACATAGTAAGTAATAACCCCTTATGATTTGTGGTTTCCAAGCTTTACTAGCTTTTATGTCATTTGTGCATATCTAATGGATACTTATTTATACAAATATGGCATAGTGGCTATATGTCTCCGGAATACGTAGTATATGGTCAATTTTCAGAGAAATCAGATGTTTTCAGCTTCGGAGTATTGCTGTTAGAAATCCTGAGTGGTGAACGTAACTCAGACTTTTTAATGACTGAAATTTCCGCGTCCCTCTTAGGATGGGTAAGAACACTCAAGACTTTAATTAATTCTGTTTTCTTTCACTTTTTTTCGTGTTTTATATATATGGTGCAACTCATTTGAACTTTTTTTAGGCATGGAATAAGTGGAAAGAAGGAAAAATCTTGGAGTTGATTGATCCGTCCATAAGAGAAACTTGCGACAATAACAAAGCAACAAGATGTATTATAGTTGCCCTTCTTTGTGTTCAAGAAATCCCAATTGATCGACCAACAATGTCTGATATATCTTTCATGTTAAGCAACGAAACAACGCCTATCCCTGAACCAAAAGAACCTGCTTTTCGTAGTAGCTGGCAATCTCAGCAGTTAAGTGATATATCCATAAATGAGATGACGATTACCTTGCCAATACCGCGATGAAAGAATTTAAGTTCTCCTACTTCTTGTAGTAAATTTTTCTTGTTAGCATAGACCTGTCATAGTTTTTTTTTGTAGAACTTACAAAAGTGTAGCTCTGGAAGAAATATAGACTAAATTTCTCTGTTTAATTGATGTTTTCTTGCTTTTTTTTCCTGTTCCTACAGTGTATCAAATTTGTGAAAATGTTGTTTTGAACATTCACTTGGCTTAGAATTTTGTGATATCATGATTTAGAATAATGAATATGAAGTTCAACGAATACATTAGAAACAATTAACATGTACTCTAGGAACTCACATGGACCAAAAGGTTAGATGCTTCTTTAGATTGATAAAATCCTGTGTTTCTCCTTCCGGCTATTATCTCCAGTATTACCACTCCTAAGCTGAATACGTCTGACTTAATCGAGAATACTCCTTCCAATGCATATTCAGGAGACATATATCCGCTAAAACAACCAAATAATGATGGAATTATCACGAGTCATCTGTGTGATGCAATTAAGCAAAGTTCATAACATTGACATGTTTGTATTACTTACTAAGTTCCAACCACTTTATTGGTATTTGCTTCTGTTGTTTGCTCTTCAACTATCCTTGCCAAGCCAAAGTCTGAGATTTTTGGGTTCATTTCTTGATCCAAAAGAATGTTACTTGTTTTCAGATCTCTATGAATGATTCTGAGCCTTGAGTCTTCATGAAGATAGAGAAGCCCTCGAGAAATTCCTAATATGATCTCAAATTGCTTTTTCCATTTCAGTGACTTGCTAAGTGTTGGATCTTGTTTTGGTAAACAATGAGAAAATTTAACAACATTGATCAAGTAAATAGAGAGATTAGGAAATAAGATGAGTTCAGATATATATACTAACCGAATATGAAGGTGTCTAGACTTTTGTTTGGCATATACTCGTAAAGTAGAATCTGTTCATACCCTGTGATACAGTAGCCTAAAAGTCTGACTAGATTTCTATGTTGAAGTTTCGAGATCAGTATGACTTCGTTCCTGAATTCGTCAATGCCCTGTCTAGATTGAGTTGATAGCCTTTTCACAGCAATTTCTTGTCCATCTGAAAATATACCCTGAAAGATTTTCGATGTGTAAACTAGGATGCTATGAAATGACTACATAAAGCGGAACTATTGAAGTGAAAAAATAGTGCTAACCTTATATACAGGACCAAAACCTCCTTGTCCAAGCTTATTTACATCTGAGAAATCATCTGTGGCTGCTAATATGTTTTCCAAACAAAAGAATGGAACGGCGATGTTTTGCTTATCATTTTCGTTAATCAGGTTTTGTGCTTCTTTTTCTCTGTTGAACCAATGTGGTACTGGATTGCCTCCTGTGCTTTGTTGGCTTGCTAAGATCAGAAAACAAGAGCAGCCTTTTGAGATATCTCTCTTTATCTGATTCATAGAGCAAAAAAAAGAAGTAGAATTGCAACGGCTGTAATAGAAACACAAACCTGTTTAGATGTTGATGGGTTCACTACTTTAACTATAAAATGAAAAGGATAATTTTGGATGTGCGTTTCATGAAACAAAAAAGATGACTTTATATAGACAAAAATAGAGGAATATCAAAAGAAATCTTAACTTTTAAATTAAATACTATTTGAAGGTTTCAAAGGGCCAAAATAGATAAAAGAGAACAACTTTAAGAATATTAAATATATGCATTGAACCTCCATTAAAATATAGAAGAGTAAACAATCCTCCTTTGAACACATGAACTCTCCATTTACTCAATGTAATAATTGATTATCACTAATATTTAAACATGTAATTAACTAAATATTTATAATATTTTAATTTAATGTAGGGGCAAAATAGTATTTCAACTTTCAACTTTTTTTGTTCCCACTTTTAGTAGTACTAGTTTCTGAGCACGTGCTTCACATGTGTGTTTCATGTGAATTTTTATAGATATGTTAGAATGACTAAAATTTCATGAAAATATATATATGTAAATTGTAATGAACAATAAAATGCAACAATTACAAAATAAGTATAAAGACTTACGACAATAAAACATTCATAGAGAACTAAATTAAGAAGTCTAATAGAGAAAAAAAAAGACAAAAAGAAATAGATTTAAGAAAAAATACAAGGTAGACATTATTCTTATAAGACTGATACATATATAGATGAAAAAATAAGTACAAAATTAGTACATAACTCTCCGAGTTCTTATCGATTCCTTCCATATCCTATCAAAATTCAAGAGTCTTCTTCATCTACTTTAACTATAGAATAAAAATAATAATAGCCTAATAATCTTGGTAGGGATTTCATGAGATAAAGAAGTTGAATTTACATAGATAGAATAGAAGGAATACCAAAAGATATCTTAAAGTGTTAGTTTAAATATTTAGAGGTTATGAATATAAAAAGATGAGAGTTATGAATATTAAGAGTATAAAAGTTGAATAAGTAATTAGAAAATAATAGTAAATATATGAAGAATAGGAAAAAGAAAATTAAAGTTAGAAAACTATGTAGAAAAAACAACTAAAGTTCTTATCACGTAATTAAGCATCAATGAATTTAAATTTGTGAAGCTAGAGTCATTCTTTAATAATAATCAAGAGGACATTATCAATGTGTGTGTCTCCATTTTGCAGATTTGCACCCTTCAAATTATTAAATTTCATTATTTATCATAAAGGATAATACTTTATCCACATAAATTATATTAAAGGAAAAAGTTATGAGAAGAGGAAAAGTATAGCAATTTAGGTATAGACTTTTTTTAATTTTTTCTTTTATATATATATATATATATTAGATATTTAATTAGGAATTAATCTTAGGAAGTCTAAAAGTCATTAACATTTTAATTAGACTTTTTTTTAAAAAAAAATTATAATTATTATATACATATAGATTATAGATAATAAATATTAATAAATTAGATATTTAATTAGGAATTAATCTTAGGAAGTCTAAAAATCATTTAACATTTTAATTAAACTTATACAATCAAATATTTAAATACTTTATAACAATTAATTAACAGAAGGGTTAAAACCGTAATTCAATTTTCAACTTTTTTTGTTCATGCTTATAGCAATATATATATATATATATATATATATATATATATATATGATATATGATATATGATAAATGATATGATGATGATGATATGATTAGTAATCATATACGCTCATGACTAGTTTCAAGATAGTATTCTACATGCTAATTTCAATTATGACAAAAAAAAAAAGAAGAGACCTAGTACTAATCAATTAATGTGAGAAAGAAGAAAACATATCTACGTTGGATTGATTTAAAAAATTATCTTTGTTTTAGAAATAGCAAACGTAATAGACATAATAAGGCCCTATAACTATAGTTTGATAATAGCGCTCCATAGCAATAGTTATGTTTGCTATGGAGGCTGTAATTTGTATATTTCTGCCCATTTGTGTATTTTTTATTTTTTTTTGGTAAACCGTGAAGAATTACCATTAACAACAACAAAAAAATACAGTTAACGAGCACTTTAGGATGATGAGCCACCCTCTAGGAAGGGTACTCCCTGTCCCAAAGCCTCAAGAAAAGAAAGTCTAATTACAAATTTTCTGAACTAAGTTTCTACATCTATTCACTTTCCTACTGTCTTTCATTATCTGTGCAGTTGTATCCTCTGTATTCACCATTATCCCTCTAAATATATTCA